GGAGAGGGATGTGGGGAGGGTTGTGCAGTGAACGGAAGCCTGACTGTTCAACTGTACATTCCTGAGCTACAGGCCATTTAGATGAATAATTTAAGAAATTTCATGAATTGATCATTTTAATGTTTATTTATTTGATTGTTTGGGGTCTTCTGCTTGGTTGCTGTGTGACCAGCTCCAGTCATCATATTTTTACATCTCAACCATTATCTCAAAAGGGGCTAGTTTTTAAAAACTAAAACTTTCTCTGTGGATCTCCTGTTCTCAGAGGTGGATAACAGCTCTGCAAATGCAGAAGAGCTTTTAACTGTACTATCCATTAACCCAGCATTCGCTGGGCCTGGTGGGATGGGTCAGGGAGAGCCTCTACGCTCTGTTGAAACAGTGAAACAAGGCTAAATAACAAGTAAATGACTGGGGTGAGGTGCTCATTCACTCAGGTGTGTGGTCACACATAAGAAGTGAGAGGGAAGGGGAGGGAACCCTGCCTTCACCTTCACCTTAAAACTGGAATAAGCCTAACTTTTTATGTCCAAAAAGTATCAAAGGACAGAGAGATGCAAGAAGGAAGGGAGAAAGAAGGGAAGGAAGGCAGGGAGGAAGGGAGGAAGGAAAGAAAGAGAGAGAGTGAAGGCAAGGAGGGAGCACCAACTCAGAGTTCAGGACTTAATGTCCCACTAAAAGCTAAACAAATAAAAAGCATTTGCATGAACCTCATGAGGAATAAAGAAGAATACACAGCATTTTGTGCCTGTTTCCCAGCGATCTGTCAGAAAAGATCTTCCACAAACGAGGAATCTTTTCTCTCTTGGGTATGAGCTGCAGAGCAGAAAGTCTCCTGAGTGTATACACATTCTCTCTCTCTCTCTGTCTCTCTCTCTCTCTCACACACACACACACACACACTCTTGGGGCCAGACTACATGCACAACTCATAGACATGAAGACTAATTGTTACTGGTGGACAGGAAAAAGATGCCAAATTAATGCACATTAGAAATCCTTCCCTACTTAATGAAGCCATCAGCAATTTCAATTTCATTGTTCGTTTGTTAGTGTTTGTGTGTTTTTAAGAGCACTTAGCTAGTGGTTACTTCCCGGACCTCCATGGGTACTTCTTCCACTTTGTATGGTGTTTGTAAGCAAATATAATTGGAAATAAAATGGCTCCAAACATTTGCCCTCCAGATTTTTTTAAATTCTAAGGTTTAAAAAATAGCAAAGTTGCTTTCTTTTGCTTGAGATTTCAGCCTATGAGGTGCTCAGTCAAGGAGAGGAGCAGCGTTTTAACACAGGCACCATAGCCCCTCTTCTGGTGCTGGAGCCATTTCAGCTCTGAAGCAGTATTTTACATAACCCTGCAGGCAGCGCTGAGTCAAACTACCTGCCAAAGGTGATTGGTTATTGCCCAGCCTCTCTGTTTGCTACAGAGAGCATCCTGGATCCAGCTTCTGACACCTCCTCCTACTCCAGATCCTTCATTATGTAGATGAGGAAACAGAATTTCTAAGAGACTGAGAGACTCCATCCTGATCATCCAGATATCCAGTAATAGCTGGGTCAAAATCGAGAACACAGATCTGACTACCAGACAATGCTCTTCACTTAATTGTCCAAAAGCATGTTCCCCAATTAAGCGGAAACCATTCTGTAAACCAAAAGCAGCCTCTACCCCCAGATCAGTTAGGTCTTCTAATATTGACAAGACGGAATTGAAGAGGAGCACTGATGTCAGGATTCTATTTGGCATCTTGAGGCCACCCAGCGTGCAGTCAGCACACTGCATTGTTTCCTGTGTTATTGGTATGCACGCCTGTTCGCTCAGAGGCTGCGTTCTTCACCAGAGATGGACCGTGCCTTGTTCATTATTGTGCTTCCCCTCCTCCAGCTGCTAACCATAGATTTTGCACATAATGAGCACTCGGTACATCTTTTTAAACATAAATGAGTGCCTAAAACACCCAACAGAACAGAGATGGCAAAGATGTACTATAGATTGAGAATGCGGGGGTAAAATAATCATCTGTATTTTCTGAAATAGAAACCTTAAGGGGGACAGCTGCCTACAAGTATAGAATTGCCAGGGAGTGGGTTCTAGACTCATGTACTTTTTTTTTGGAGCCCAGTCATTCAGGGATTCTTCACTCTTCACTTCTTAGGACATGTTACTGTCTTAATTGCAAGCTCCACAAACCTCTGATCAACAGTCTCTCCTAAGAGACCTGCACACGTGCAATCCCTTTGGAAAAGCTCAATCAGCCCTAATTGAGTCACAATACCAACCCAAATTAATTAGACTTTCAGAAAGTTGTCAACATCCTTCAAGATAACCTGGGCTGACTACTCCATAGCCTTCACAGGGGAGTACATGCTCAAATTCTAAAAGCTTGAAATTCTACCAGTGACTCCTGAATAAAGACCCCTTTCTTTTCAAAGACATTCACTCCCCAGGCTTTTTACTTCTATACTAAACAGAAATATAAACAGAACATCAGACTCCGAGAAGGATCACAAAACTTCAAAGCTCAAAAAGCATATTTCTGCAGTAGTTTTACAAAGAAGCAATCTGGTGTCAGCTTGTTGCTTTGTTTTTTAAGAAACAGGGTCTCACTCTGTCACCCAGGCTGGAGTACAGTGGTGTGATCATAGATCACTGCAGCCTCGACCTCCTGGGCTTTAGCAATCCTCCTGCCTCAGCCTCCCGAGTAGCTAGGACTGCAGGCATTCACCATCACACTCCACTAATTTTTTATTTTAGTAGAGATAGGGTCACTATGTTTCCCAAGCTGGCCCTGAACTCCTAAGCTCAAGTGATCCTGCCACCTCAGCCTCCTAGGTAGCTGGGACTATAGGCACCTGCCACCACATCCAGATAATTTGTTATGATTATTACTTTTTTAGAGATGGGGTGTTGCCATGTTGCCCAGGCTGGCCTTGAACCCCTGGCTTCAAGTGATCCTCCTACTTCAGCCTCTAAAATGCTGGAATTGTAGGTCTGAGCAACTGTACCTGTCAGCTTGTAAATCCTTATCAGAGTCCCCATCTCAGAAAAGTGTCATTGCATTCCTGAAAACCAAAAGCATCCCTGACAGAAGCAGAACCAAGTGTCTTCAGATTTAAAAGTCATCAAATCAGACAAATAAAATTAAACTTCTTACATTTCTAGGTCTTGCTACTGCAGCAATCTAAATATACCCTAAGCTTCCTATCACTAATTTCAACACCATAAACTCTGACCATAATGGCTTAATATTAATAACTGGCAGCAAAATTTGTAATCTTATTCTCAAGGCACATTTATTTTGCATTTGATAAATAAAAGTATCATTAAAAAAAACCCCACCATATCCTTACAAAAGATTCTTAAGTAGAGAATCTTTAAGTAGAGAACCCGAAATCAACTAAAGGTGTCCTCTTATTAAATTTCTCATATTCAGTGACAGGTAGCAAGCATCTCCATCCCCATTTTAGAATGAGGAAACAGCCTCAGGGACTTGAACTAAGTGAGTCAGTTGTGAGGCTAAAATAGAAACCAAACTTCAAGATGACCTTGAATGAAATCCAGCCAGAAAAGAAGGCGAAAATTGGTAGTGACACTTGTTTAGCCTAATGTGACTCCAGAAAAAAAGTCAGAATAGCCTCATAAAAAAAAAATAGCATTACTGCAAATCCTAAATATTATTATACATTTGCCATTAACTTGGCAAATTCATCACATAAGCTTGCTGTTTGGGGTGTAGCCATAAGTTACATATGCTATATCTATGCTGTCTTATTTTCCTTCCTAAGTGCAATCCACAGAATACTAAAGTGACTATTTGTCTCACAAAACTGCTTGCTACAATATGTACTTATTCTTAGATTTTGCATTTCATTTTAAAATCTATTCAAACGTATTTATTAATCAGTGTATCCAGATCAGCAGCATGGTTGAAGGGAACTGCTCATCAAATTGAAAGCAAAATCACTTCTAAAGACATCTGAAGACTGAGAGTTTCTGTCAAGACCACCCAACTACTTAGTAACAACGCTGAGTCAAAATCAAGAATGCAGGTCTGACCCCCACTTTCACTTAATTGTACCAAACCATTTTCTCCAAGTAAGTGGAAACACTACTCCAAACTAAAAGCAGCCCTCTGTTCCCAGATCACTTAGGGCTTCTAGTGTCACTGCGACATATTTAAGAGGAACAGGAAATGTCTGTTTGAAGCCTTCTTTCTCTTCGCAAAACCCCTCCCTCTTCCTCACCCCTCCTCTGCCATCTCCAGGTATTAAATGCCACTAGTTTCAAAGGCCATTGAATGTGAACTTGCACATAATGAGAAAAAGCAAGAGATGAAAAGTTTGGCTGACATCAAATTGCCCTCTCCACACCACAATATGCACAACTATTTCTGCCTTCGTGGGAAACAAAAGGCATTACAGACGAGGAAGGGAAAAATGGAGGAGGAAGTATAGCAGAAATTGTATTCCAGTAAAATGTATACTCAGTAAGAAATTGAGGGGTAAAATGCAGCTGGGATAGCAAACCCTCAAAACAAAAAGCAGCAATAAAACTCAAAAACTGTCAACTCAAGTGAATAATAAAATGCACAAAATATTCATTTGACTGATGCATAGCCCAAGACTCTCCCATAATTTGGGGGGAGGCCATTCAATTCTGCAAATGAGATCTGGCTGGAACCTAGCTTCTCTCATTCCCAAATAAGCCCATCATTCCAAACCTCTAAGCTAAACTCTCTCTTGCTAAAACTGCTGAGAATACAAAGGCTTCTTGGGATCATACCTTGAACCCAGAAAACAGAAAAGAAGGCCCTCATCTCACTGCATTTAAATTATTCATTTTCTTTTCTATATGCTCCTCTAGGCAGGAGGCTCTGTGACAGCATGGCCCACAGAGGTCTGGAACACCTAGTACATACCTGGATCATCACAGGCCTTTGGTACATCTCTCACTAAATGGATGATTTGCCATGTCATGATATGACCTGAATTCTACTTACACTTATGAGAGAGAAGCACATCAAAGGAATCTGCCCACCTCGTAGCTTCTTCTGTGGATAATCTCCTAGAAAAAAAGAAACATCTGTCTTGAATGTTTCTGAAATAACCTCCTTGCCCTCAACAACCACTAAGATTTTCTCAAAAAAACAAATTGGAAAAATGTGGGGAGTGGATGGGGGGTGGCGGGTAGCAAATGAAATGAAGACTATACCTGGATTCCTGCAATTCTGTTGCTGTAAATTTGTACATTCTTAAGTAACTGATGAAAAAAAAAACCTCAAGACTGGAATCCAGTGAATTTTGTCTGTTGACTTGTAGTCTAAAGAACAAAGCTAAGTAAGTCCATGATTTAAAGGTGTCGAGGTAACAATGGAAAGAAACTGGTCTTAGAGTCAGAAAAGTTAGACTCAGCTCCTGACTCCATTCTTACTGTCACCTAAATGTCTGCACTCCTGAAATGGGGATAATGATGCCCATTACCTAGTTGTGTGAGGGTTACACAAGGTAACATCCATGACATTTAATACAGCACCAGCACAGAAGAGGTGCTGAATTCAGGTTACTTGAATCTAAGCATATTTTTAGAGTAAGTTTGAACATTTATTTCCAAATTGAGAGCTCAGATTGACAACTAAGTAGAACCCAGAAGTATCCTTTGCCACCCACAATTTTAAGAGTGATGGATGATACGGCTTTCTTAGGGAAAAAAAAGAGGATTCCCATTCTGAGATCACCAAGCTATACATTTTGAAAAGGAAAATAAACAATCCTTTCACTCATATCCAGTGATATAAAAGGAGCTGCCAAGAGACAGGATTTTTCCTGTGGCTCCTCTGGTCAGCAACTCACTAAAGAAGTGAGCTATATTACTCGCTGTATTACCCAGGGAATGGCACGTGGCCGTACTACTCACTTGAGAGCGCGGTTGGGTTTGTCTGGAAGAATAGCTGTGAAATCACTACACGAGTCTGACTTGTGAGACAGGCATCCCAGTCGAGTCCTCATCCCTTTGTTCCTGCAACAAGCACAGGGGCAGAAGGACGGGGAAACTCTCATGATCACAGCTGTCAGCTCTATACAGGGCCCCTGGAGCTGCTGCTACGGAAGCCAGCACTGCCCCCACCCTTCCCCAGGTGGTCTCTGAAGACTTCCTGAACAGGAAGAGAACACCTAGAGAATCAATAACTACCTGAACAGTCATAGGTACCCTACGTGGCCCCCTAGAGGCTTAATGCTTTTTAAAGCTGACACGGCAAGTTGATGGTAAATCAATGAAGGTCATTAGCTTGGAAGAATTTCTAAATTAGGATTCTCTGTAGGGAAAGAAAATACAGTGATAACAAAATAACAATCCACATTTTGCTTTTCCACAAGGAGGGCAAAGTAACAGCAGCAGCTCCTGATGGCAAAGACCCAGAAGGAGTACCCACACCAGGAGCAGAGGAATGTTTGCAAGGTGCAGGGTGCATATCAGAGTCTTAAGCACAAAGTAGGGGGCCTCAAGGCAGGTCAGTTCCAACTCAAGTTCTCCCCACTCATCCCACAAATCTAGCTATAGTCAACCCATAGGATTGATGCTTGCAGGGGGAGAAGAGTAATTGGTACAATCAGCAATTAAGAACCAATGTCCCCTTTGTCAGTTCTTATGCTTGCCTAACTAAGCTTATGTATTCCTACTTACATTTAGGCTTATCTCAATAAGTATAATTAAATTTTTAACATGTATGTTTACATTTCTCATATGTTTTATTTCCCAAAGGACCCATATAATGACATCGGGCACTCAAATAGTTATCTCTTATAACAGATCCAGTGAGAAGTTACTCTAATGTCTCTTTCTGACTCCCAACATTAGCCTCCGTTTACCAGTTTACTTTTTTTATATGTTTAACTTTTTTTTTAGAGACAAGGTCGTGCTATATTACCCAGGCTGGTCTCAAGCTCCTGACCTCAAGTGATCTTCCTGCCTCAGCCTCCTGAGTAGCCCAAGCCACCATGCCCAACTAGCCTCTGTTAACCTTTAATCAGAGGTTGACAAACTGTAGCCCTGAAAAGATGCCTGTCTATGTAAATAAAACTTTATTGGAACATGACAACACCATTTGTTTACAAATTGTCTAAAGCTGCTTTCAACTACAAGGGCAGAGCTGGGTTGTTGCAACACAGACCATACGGCCCACAAACCCGAAAATATTTACTCTCTAGCCCTTGACAGAATAAGTTTGCTGACCCCTGACCTTTAACTATGACAACTCCTTGTGTTGAGGGCAAAGGTAAGTGGGATGGGTTTAGTGTAATCAAATCAGGACTTAAGAGTGACTTAGAAAAAGGAACTGCCGCTTGCACGTTCGCAACAATTTGCCACAGAAATAGTCCTAGAAGATGCCATTCTGCATGTTGAAAAGGAGTCATTCTGGCCTAGCTTTCTTTCCTCTTTTTCCTAGGGGTGGGAAGAGACCTTAGAGGTCATCCAATTCAATCTCTTTTACTTTAAATGGATTTTCATCCCTGGTAATTGTCTTCGTTCACAGAAATTTTATCCAAGAAATGTCTGCTGGGATGGTATTATATTTGGCAGGGATGGACAGCATTTGTATTCCACAGCACGTCTCTGAAGAGCCTCCTAGGGCTGGAACATCCAAGTTCCCAGAAATATCCTCTCTCCTGCAAAAAATTGGGCCTGCACGTCCCCTGCTCCCACCTTGAATCTCAGCCAGGCTGCGTTGTAAAGCCATCCATTTCATGGCATTTCCAAACATTGGCTACTGCTATTCTCTCTCCTGCAACAGCGGGCATCTTATGTGTCCACTCGTGCTTGCAAATTGCAGGGTGTCTGACAGCACGCCATGCGAGCAGCTGATTAAGGGCCCTCGAGTCATCACATTCCATGAATTCAAGTAAAGGTCCTGCTCAGGCTGCCCCATAGGCCAAAGCCCAACTTTCAGTGAGTTGGTTCATTCCTCGTGCCTCAGGATCATCAATCATAAAACACTCAGGTCACTGCCCTCAAAGAGCAATCAAGAGGACTTTTGAAAAATGGCAAATCCACGCAAGCCATTTAACAAGGTTTAGCAGGGGCCAGTGTAAAGGATGCTACTTGTTACCAAGACAACTGTGATTCTCCCAAATAGTTTGCAAAAATCTTCAACAAAATATTCTTTAGGACAAAATGGTTTTATTTTTCATCTTTCCAGCTCAGACCTCAATTATAACCTTCTCAGCTAGGTCTGAAATAATGAGGTTAGAAGTAGGAGTCAAAGGTTAAGGATACTTTTTAAAAAATAACGAGGCTTTCCCTTGTCTGTCTCTTTTCTACAGCCCCTATCCAAGTAACTCACAGAGATCCCTAAATGGTTCCATACAAGCTCATGCACAGTCCCTCATCCCACCCCATAAGTCACTGCCAAGCTGTCTCACCAGTCAATGGGAGGGCTTCAGCTAAGGCAGTTCCTGCTTGCAAGGCCACAACTTTGCAAGAGGCATACAGACAAGAACCGTGCAGTTCACACAGGAGGCCTATGGGGACAGATGCAATTAGACCACGCATGGGCTAAGGAGGCTTGGGCCAGGCTCAAATAGCAGAGGGGGTGACAAGGTGGAGAAAAGAGGAAAGGGTCAGGGGCAAGAAAACAGGCCATTGATTCATTACCTGCGTGGCATCAGTAAGGCCGCCATACAGGCATCCGCTTACGGTTAACCCTTGGGCTGGTTTGCAGGGACGTCAGGGCAGCAAATAAGACTGCGGGGCTCAGGAATTTACCCTTGCACGTCCTCTCACCTAAAATCAAAGAATCTGCTGTAAGAGGGGCCACCCTCTCTCATCTGACTGCGCTACATTTCCTCTCAGACAGGTTTCCGCCAGCGGAACACCTCCCCACACACATCCCCCCAGGCCCCACAAATGTCCACTTGTCCTTAGCGGGGGCGACAAACCAAGGATGGACAAGAACAAATTGTTGGTGGCTTCATGTTGTTGATTATTGGTTAGGAGTTCCTGATTCCCCAACCACTGGCCATCAAAAATAAAGTGGGACGTGTGCCTCAGGGGAGGCGTGGACCTCGCAAACCAAAAATTACTGTTCTCTTTCTCTTACTAAAGTGGGGCCCAAGTGACCAGCCAGCGGGGTTGGAGGAGGGGGTCAGTACTTGCTCCAAAATAATCTGATTGGATGCTGCTCTGATTCTCGCCTCCCTCCAAGGGCACCTGTCCCAGGTGGGAGTGCGTGGAGACTCGGGAAAGTGGGAGTGGGAGGGAGGTTGGAGGAACTCCAAAAGAGGCTTGTCAGGCACCGTCGCCACACAGGCTTGCTCCTCTGCAGGGATCACAGGTGCAGGCTGAAGAAATGAATATGCAAGTCACCCTTTCTCGCCCATATGGAGCCTACATGACCTTCCTCAGTGTGGGGACTGGCCTATTCTTGACACAAAGCAGGAAGGACATGAGTGTGGGGAGACAGGGGTCATTGAGGTTGAAAGCTGATTGACTCACAGTCTTCCTCTCCTGAGGGTCCCATTCTCAGTGCTTCAAACCCTTTGTTCCTGCAGAAGACCTCTGATAGGAAGAAACACGTGAGGAGAGCAGCCTATCCATAAAGGGCTCCCCTGGGGAACTCTGACACCAAACATAGAACCCATTTTAAAAGAAACCTAATTTAGATAGATAAGACTCCTATGTCAGCTACACCATTTAAATTATTTTTATATTACCGTGACTATTTCACAAGCACTTTTTAAAAATAGCTTCTTTAATAATACTACAATTAATAAAATTAAAAGATTGCTTTGTGAAAACTAGAAAAAATAATTAGTTAGACTGTGTATGAGGGCCCATCGTCATGGATTGTGTTCCCTGGCTGCAGGGACATTTCCTTAATCTTTCTCCTAACCAGGCTTACACCTAGACCCCAGGAGTCATGAAGTCAAAGCTTTTGCAGCTGTGACGGTCCCTAGAAGTCATGTTTGGGGCACCTAGGCCTCTTGCTGTGGGATATGGCCTCAGGGGAAGGGGAAATCCATGCAAGGACCTTTATTATCCTAGAGCCAAGTGGAACCAGAGACGACTACCCACCTACATTGCAGGCAAGGTCATTTGGGGCAGGGGTTCACCCAGCCTTCTGTCCCCACCTTGTCTCTCTTCCCATCCCACTGCCAGCCCACACTAGCTTGCCCATGCTGTTCAGATGCCTGTCTCTCTCCTTCAAATCCTTCAAATCCAGCACTGCCCGAATTGCTGCTCAGACCCTCCACTACCCATTTGATGCGCTCAGTCACAGATGCCAGTAAATAAGAATCAGCAGGACACTCTGACCCAGCTGCCTTGCCCATCCCAGCACCTCAGGGCTTTTATTCCATTTGGCCCTGGACTTCTGAGAGTTAGAAGTTACCCAAAGCCCAGGAAGTTCAATGCTGTGATTGCCCACACAGTGCATGTGCCCTCATAGATGGACATCAAGTCACAGGTGCGTCTGGGGCAGACAGGACGAGACATAATGGGAAGAGGGGATACTCAAGAAAAAACAAAGGTTAAAAGCAAAGAGCAAAGATTTATAAAGAGGGGGAGAGAAACTAGAGCCTCTGCGGGAAGAAAGCAATCAATATGCATGAAGAGGCAAGTTAATTAAATATGGATAATGCAATCGGTGCACACAGACACCCCGGAGAAGAAAGAGAAAAGCAAAGGCAATACTCACTGTCTTTGGCCAGTCCTCATGGCCTGAGGGTCTTTGCCAACTGGGTGGTCAGAGAGGCTGCGGGTTAAGGCGCTCTGGGGAAAAAGTAGATCTTTCTTTTAGCAGTCAAATCCTCGGTGAGTGAAGGGCATGTGTGCATGAACACATAGGCGCACACACACACATATACACACACAGGCATGCACAACACACCTCCCACCACTTGAGCCAGGCAGCAAGCGGCCCCGCTGAAAGCTCTTCTCTCTGCTTGTCACATCCAGTAAATACTGAAGCAGCCTACACCCAGCGGGCGGCGGCTCAGCTCCCGGGCACGGTCTGCACGCCCATCCTCATTGGCAGGATGCAGAAGGTGCCCCTGAGCCGAGCTCAGCCTCACTAACCTGAAGCTCCTCTGGTTGCAGCTCAGGGAGAAGTCCCCACAGCCCACAGCTGCCTCCCTCTGCACCCAGAGGCTGTGCGGGGGGCAGCAAAGAATAGGTATTAACTCTTTCCAGTCACCAGTGAGCTGAAAATCAAGTGTCCAGGGGGCCCTCTTCTAATGAGCCCTGCTGCTGGCTGAAGGTTGGCTGCTGCACTGGCAGTGGAGAGCGTAAAGATCTTGCCCCAGACAGCTGCTGACAGCAGGAGCCACTCCAAATCAAATCTCCTAATGAGTCAGGAGGAGGGGGGCTGTCTTGCTGGGTGTGATGTGATGTGATAAATGCAGAGAGCAAGAAAGCTACAGGGCAGGTCACACATCTAAATTCCACCCCCTTTCTCCAAATTTCTATTGTGCTGCACTACCAAGCCAAACCACACAGCCCTGAACTCGCCCTCTCTGCCACATCTCAGCTGTGCCCCTTACTCTACAGAGGCATTTCTCCCCCAGCTCATCTCCACTCCCACCCTAACCAGCACCAACCACACCACTCCCCACTTCTTAATGAGAAATTTCCACCTCCTCTGCCTTCCCAAACATGCATATTTCCAACTCTATGCTCCTGCCTCTCACCTGGTTTTTCCTACAGTAGAAACTCACCTCTCTCCCTCATCCATCACCTAGCAACTTCCCCCTACTTGCATTTGTTATGGAATGAGACTTTTTCCTTTGTTCTGCCCGATCTGCACATGATCCCTATTTTTCTGTCTTTTCCATTTTTTTTTTTCTTCCAAACCTCCTTACCCACATGGGTCTTCACACTGCCTTCTTCAGTTCCAGAAGGAGGACTCTCTTCCTGCTTGCCCTAGTGTAGTGGGTCTCCAAGCATGGTCCCTGGACCAGCAGCGTCAGCATCACCTGAGAAGTATCAGAAATGCAAATGTTCAGGCCCCACCCCTAGACCTACAGAATCAGAAACTCTGGGGACAGTAATCAGCCTTCCAGGTGACTCTGATGCATGCTAAAGTTTGCAAACCGCTGCCCTGGGAGAAAGCTTGTCTTCTCATTATGCTCTAGGTCCCTAAGGCTGAGTCTATACTCCCTCTCAGGAACTAGCTCTAAAGACACATAGCCTTAGCTGCAAACCATTTCTGAAACCCAGAAGGCAGCAGAAATCTCAACAGAAAGTGATGGCTTTATAATAATGGAAATGAATTCCATTTTTTCATCCTTTTTAAATGTATAAAGCATTTTCATGTATTGTCACTCAACAATCCTATGCCATCGTCACAGAGGGTAGTATTATTATTCCCATGTTACAGACGAAAAAACCGAGGCCAGAAAAGGTGATGTACCTTTATCAAAGTGACGCAACGTGCCAGAGGAGGCACAAGGACCAGAAATTAAGCTTTATGACTCTAACAGCAGAGCTCTTTCCACTATATCATACCAGGACCCAGTCTTTCTGGGCAGATCTATTGGTGCATAACCTGAATTCTCTCAGTGAAATGATTCTGCCGCAACTACTCACTGCCTGATGATAAGATGAAATAAAAATTCTGATGCTGCCTCCACAGTGACTCATTGTCTCTTTCTGATATCGTCCACAGTGCCCCTCTATTAAAGAAAGGGAACTTTGTGTTATAAAATGAGAGGCAAAAGAAAAGTTTCTCATTTCTTATTACCCCTTTCTTGAACCCTGTTGCTAATTGGGGTTTAGAACTTCAGCAGAAAGAGAACCCTTCATTTCTGGACATTTTCTTGGTACACTGCACCATAAGAAACTGGTACACAGATAAACTGATGAATAAAAGCCCATTGATAAGCACTCCCCTAATTCAAGATATGTTTCTAGAATAAGGTGAATCCACATAGCTAATGTTTAATGAGCAGTTAGTATGTGCCAGACACTATGCCAAACATTGCTTTGAGTTATCGATTTAATTTTCAGAACAAATTTGCAAAGCCAACATCTTTATCACCCCTCTTTTACAGATGGAGAAACAGAGACACGTCATTTAAAAGTGGCAGAGCTAGTATCTAGCACCAAACCTGATGCTTCCAGCCTCTGCTCTGCTCCTCACTTTAACACAAACGTAGTGCCATCATAGGACACTTCCTACCAGCACTAAAACAGTAGAACAAAGGTCTCCTCCAAATCTCTTACTGCCCAGGCCACTATCCAGGGGGTAAAGGCCCCGAGGAAAGAGAGCAGGGCTGCAAATGGGCCTGAGTCACAAGTGGAAGCCAATCAATATTAACCAGGCATCAGAATCTTCAATTAGCCTTTGGAGAAATAATATAGTCATAGGAAGTCAATAAGTCCAATGTTTAAAAAGAGCTATAGTAAACAAGAAAAAATGTAAAAGAAGTAACAGGAATATAAAGAGCAGAAGGAAAAAAAGTGTGTGGACATGAATAATACAAGGAAACAGAACATTAAAACTAGTCCAAACTTTCTTTTTTTTTCCTAACCAAAACACTCCTAAATGCCAAGGAGTAATCACAGAGGACCACAGTTTGAGAAGCACAGACCTAGCGCAGGCCCCTCTCCCAAGAGGACACCAGCATAATCTTCCAAAGAGGCCAGTGCATAATTTCAAGGAGAATTAAGCTGAACCTAAAGTTAAGCATTCTAGCATTGTCTTCTTTCCTGAAATAAATAAACAGAAAAGGCAAGCAGGGTTAAGTGCTCGTGAGAAAGGAATTCATCACCTTGGACTCTGTAGTCCCCAGGCTTAGAGCTCTGCCCCAGGAATGTAGAGCTCTGGGTTCTTTTCCGGCTACTGCTCCTGACTTGCTAGGTGGAGTTGGCACAGGACATCTCAACTGGCCACAACTCACATCTCTTACAGGAACACAGTGATTGCAAGCCCCGCTCCTGCCTCTGGGCTGTCCTGCCCCCCTCTGCACTTCCCAGTCTATACTCACTTGCCTTGGGAAGCCCTGCCCTCTCCAGGCACCCACCACTCCTCTCCAGAATCAGTGCTTCAATCTTGCCTCTTCAGCTCTAGGCTGCTTTTCCAGAGGTTTGCTGGACAGCTCCTCACATCTTAGACCCTGCACGCTATACTGGCTCTAAATAGACCCTGCATGCTGTACTGTCTCTAAACAACTACCTTCCCACATCCTCCTTTCCTGCTGGGCTCCCTGTGTTTGCTTGTGACGTTACTCTGCCCAAGTCCCACAAGGGACCCTAACCGTAACCCTAACCCCAACAAGTACAGACATTTCTGGCTTCTTTTTCTCCATTCCCCTTCCTAAATTGGTTTTTAAATCTTGTCATATTTTTGAAATATTTCTCAACTTCATTCCCTCCCATCCATTGATGTTGACATATGAGAGGTTATTCAACCCCCAGCACCTGCACAACCCCTGCCCTCTCTTAAATAACTGATCTCCCTGCTGTTGTTTCTTTCTCTGTCCGCCCACAAACCTTGCCCACTACACTACTGCTGGAGTACCACTGAACAGATACCATAAAGTGGATCATCTGTGCAATCATCTTTGATGGGCCCCAAATCTAATATCCAAATGACTCCTTGTCCTGCCTGACAATGAGTTTGTCCCGTTTGCCTATCCCAGTTTTCTATCCCACACATACGCATGATTCCTCTGCTGTCTCTTCTGCCCAGAATGTCCCCACCCTTGATCTGCTTGTTAACTCTCAGCTTCTTCCCTAAACCTATTACCTCAAGCAAAAATTCTCCTTTCCAAACCTTTTTCAGAATTCTCCCAATCAGAAGGAACCCCCTCCATCCCAATAGCACCACCCTGCTGTAAGGCTCTCTGACAGCCCACATCACAGGCATAGTTTATTCTTGAGATTTATGTTTTATGATCTTCTCAATTGACTGTGTGCTCCAAAAAGACAGACTCTTTTACTTACTGCCCTTACTATTAATTCTCATTGCCTTGCAGAGAGCAGGTGTTGAGTAAATGTCGGCTTAATTTGATTTCGAGTTCATGAAAAAAATCTGAAAAATCACAAGGATTCTTTATGGCAGAAACACATTAGACTTCTGCAGCCTTCTGGTCAAGACTGAAGTCAACAGAATGCTAATGACACCCAGGGTCAGCTGCACAGGTACGTAAGGCATTTGCAAACTAACCCAATAGCCGGGTCAGAGCAGGGTGGAATTCATCAAGAGCAGAAGGAGCACCTGGCATTGTCACACAGGCCATGAGAATGTAATTAAATTGAAGATAAAGGGAGCTTAAATCTGCAATATAATATTTTAAAAAGCCACGAGAGTGGAAGAGGAGGTTTATTGCCAAATGCCCCTGTGTGTTTATCTAACCAACATACCACCTAGGATAATACCGCATTTAAAGCTTTTAATAAAACAGTCATTTGGATATTAGATTTGAATTCTGGTCAGCATGCTAAAGCTCTTCCGTAAATCTTTTAAAAGCAATTTCCACCTCATAGCTTCCTAGTAACAGTAGAAACATGAATCAACATATGCTGCATTGATTTAGGGTTTCCATGGAGACCGGAAGGACACAGGGAAGGGCAGGACAGAAGGAGGCCACTTGGCCCAAAATTCTACTTTAAAAAATGCATCTCGATCTCATTCCTCTGAGCATTAGCAGCCTCATTTCCTGTTCATCAGTTCAAGCATCCACATATTTAATTTGTAATAATGCTGCTCAGCTCCTCATAAGGAACATCAGAGGGGACATGGAGAAAAGTCAGCAGTTAAAGCTGTGTGCCCATGAGGTTTGCAAAGAAAACCAAGAAGTACAGGATTTGGAATCAGAAGAAAGGGCCTTTGGTACTAACTCTGCTATTAACTAGCTCCATGACACTAACTACTTCTACTAGCTCTGTGATCACCAACTAACATCACCAAGACATTTCAACTTCAATTTCCTCATCTGTAAAACACAAATTAACACACCTGCCCAGTCT